TACATCATGGCTGACTCCTTTACTCTTAGGTGATGGAGAGGCCCCAACCAAAGCCACCAGCAGGCCTAGGCCTGGGTTCCATTTTTAAGGATAGAGACATATTTATCTCTATCAAATAATGCAGTCTCTTAACCTCCCTGGTGGCAATGGCCTGATTTGGGAACAGGGCTGGCTTAGGTTAAGAACAGTAACTGTGGCTTTAGAATCAGGATTTTAGTTATACAAAAGCACAAGTGTTGGGCTTTACGCCATGCCATGCCAGGAAACGGACCATGAGCTGACTTTAACTGTGAGGACCACCCCCGTCTGCCTGTCTTTTCCTGCAAGAGGACATGCACATAGGTGAACTGGTGGAGGATTTCACCTTGGTACATTTGATTTACTGATAAAGCGGACTGAGAAGAGTTTGTGTCCTGTGGTGGAAAGCGAATAATCTAGGCTGCTGCCTGGAGAAAGAACAGGGAAGCAGACCTTCAGTGCCACCTCCTCACAGATGGCTTGCCAGAGAAAAGTGTTCCACTGACAGGATGAATACACAGGAAGCCCAATACTCATTTGACAGGTGACTGCTTCCATTAGCGCCTCACTAGTACCACAGGAAACAACCCCTGACCTGCCCTTCCCGACTGGATTAGAAATCCTTCCCAGGGCTCCGATGACATCCTCCTTGCCAGCCCCAAGGGGATCCACATCCTAGCCCCAGAACCTGTGAAGGTGTTCAGTTAGTTACAAAGGGAAATTGGGATGGAATTAAGGTTGCTAATCAGTTGATCGTAAAAGAGGAAGAGTAGCGGAGACAGTGGGGTGCCCTATACAATAACTTGCAGAGGAAGAGGAAGCCAGAGGATGTTGAGGTAGTACGAGAGAGGAACAAAGAGGAACAAAGGCTGGTGCTGTTGGCTTTGAACACTGTAAGCGGAGGCAAGCTGTGTGCTCCTCTAGAAGCTGGAACAGACAAGGAAACAAGCTCTCCCTACAGCTTCTAGAAGGAATGCTGCCTGTCAATGTTGCCTGTCAACATTTGATTTTAGATCAGTAAGGCCTATTTCAGACCTCCAAAACTGTAAAACAACTAACTGTAAAAAGTGTAAATATATGTTAAGCCATTAATTCTATAGTAATTTGTTACTGCAGCTACAGGACACAAATACATGATTGTACTTCTCTTACAGAATGCCATTTTTACTGCTATGCATGTCAACCCAACCAATAAAAATAATAACTAACACTTGATGAGTTTATGATTACTTTGAATACTATGTAGCAGTATAAGGTACTAGAAAAAAATGACCCCTACTAACACCAAGATAAAAGAATCAGAGATTGGGGCAGGAAGTGGGAAGCATCCTCCAGGAGATAAAACAGGGTACCTTTTTTTTTTTTTTTTTTTTTTTTTTTTAGGGAAGGGTCTACAGGGTGTTCAGGGTTTCACAACTAGATCAGACACATAGTGATCTGCCTGTCTACAGCCTCCCAAGAGCTGGGATTACAGGTGCGCACCACCACGCCCAGTCTCAATTGCCATCTCAATGTGCTCTGGGGATGGGCCAACACAGCAGGTCCAGGGATTGAACTCCTAGCCTCTGTACCTGCTTGCAGGTGCTTTAATCTGCTGAGCTATTTGGCCGGTCCTGCAGGGTACATGTTAAAAGATGAGTGAAAGTTGGCCAGTGAGAAAGGAAGACCATGGGAGACATAATCAGATACTCAGAAAAACAGCACAGACGGACCTGTGCTAGCAAGTGGAAAACAAATACAGTGGCTTTAGTGGCTCAGCTTCAGGCGAAGTACAGTGTCTCCAGCCCTTCATCTCTCGAGGGTCAGAGGCTCCTGGTCTCCTGCCTGCCTAAAATCTGCACACAGAGGCCACCCAGGCACCTGAGCCTTCACACGGCCAGTGCAGAGTACAACTTTGCCCACGAACATGTTCCTCCTCTGGGCTTCCCTGTCTCTCAAGATGAAACCACAGTGGCCTCTTAAGTGTTCTTCCTGCTTCCACTCTGTGTTCCCTGTGATCCATTCTCCATAAAGCAACATCATAAAACTGTCAGTCAAGAGGCTGGGCATGTAACTCAGCGCTAGAGTGCTTGTCTTTGATCAAGAAGCCTAGTTCGATCTCCAGCAACCCCACCCCACAAACCTGGATCAGATTCTACTACTGAGTTTAAACTCACCAATGCTGCCTTTGCACTCAGTGGTGATGCTGGGGACATGTCCCGTGTGTGATCTGTCCCAGGTGCCCTCTCCAACCACACCACACGCCATTCTCTTTGTGGCTCCTTTACTCTCCGGCCTCCTGACACTCCCTGGAACACATGAAGCTGGCCTACGCAGACAGAACTTTGCACATTCACATCCCTCTGCCTGGACTGCTCTCCCCCTCTCCCAGACCTCTCTGCTTAGCTTGTTTCTTCTCTACTCTCCAATCTAGGCTCAAGCTTTTTTGAAAACCTAGAGCCAACATTGTACCCTCACGCTCTACTCTGGACTCCGGTTGGATTCCTCCCTAACAAGTACCACCACCACTTTTCCTCTGCCTGAAATTATCCACGTCTTCCTAGCTGTCTACCAGCCCCCTCCCAGTGGAATGTAAGCTTTAAGAGGTTGGGCCGATCTACCATGTTCATCACTATATATCAAGACTTCACCCGTGGCATAGCATGAAGCAGATGCTCAATACATGGCTGCTGAGTTGATCGATTGAATAGAAAAGTGTGCGGCTGACACTGAAAGATGAGGCTGGAAATAGGAGGCCTATTCATCTTTGTAAGACTGGTACCTCCCACAGTGGAGCCACTCAGCAAATGTTTACTGGATATATGAAAGAATGACTCAATTCCAGATGAATCTGAGGAGTGCTGTCCTTTCTGGGCAAGGCTCCCAAAGGGGTTCCCTCCCTTCCTTGGGGTTTCTTAGGAAGTAACAAGTCTGGGGCATACAGCAAGTGTTACCAAGATTCTTGCTGTTACATGTGTGGGGATCAGTTGTACAGTCCCCTAGGAAAGGCCTCTGGAACCCACCTGCAGCACAGCAGTAGAGAGAGAAGTGAGACAAAATAGGGAAAGATAGAAGGGGGCAGCAGGAACCGATCAAATACAACTGAGGACTCGGTAGGAGAGCTCAGGAGCAGCACTGCTCCTGCTAACCTGGGCTCCCTGCTTTCCTGCAGGAGAAGCCAGCAGGGAGTGGGTCTTCCCAAGGGAAGGCTCCATTGGAATGCACACATTGTAAAGCTCACACTAATTTTGGAACTCTGGCTCACTTTGGCTGGGGAGGGCTGGGGAGGCTGGGGAGGTGCAGGGAATTTCAATTTCCTTCACCAAATGACAAGCTTGAGAAAAAGACCTTTCTCTCCAACATTATCACATACTAAAAATGAAAAACCAGCCACTCAGAGTGTTCATAAAGAGAAGGTGGGGGCCGCTTAGCTCACAAGAAAGGGCTGATAATTCTACTGAACTTGAAACTGTACAGGATGTGCTAAGATACTGCCCTTTTTTGGACTCGGAAGTCTCTATTCTTCACATAATTATGAGATAGAGAAAAGTAATTTCCCATAGAACACAGCACTCATTTTATATTTTAAATCTACTTGATAGCAGAATCCTAAACCCATTTGGTATCTGACTAGTAGGGGCTGGCTGGGTAATCTTTTTAATTCCTCTCAAAATATGTAGTTTGAGATAACTGCATACCTCCAAAATAGCAGTAATAACCAAACAGAACAAGAGAAGGCATGAAAGTTTTAAAGGTTATAAAGCAGGAAGACATATTTCCAAATCTGCTGCATGCCTGGCAGACCATAACCTGACACAGAGGAGTACTGGCCCCAGAGCCTGCAGACTGGAAACCAGACCTGGAGCTTCCACTAACTGGCTGCATCTCGGGCAAGTCTGGTCACCTCTCTGGACCTCACCCATGGGAAAAGAAGGGACTGAAACAGTAGTTCTCTGAGACCTTTTTTCATTCTAAACTGTTGCTTGGGCCATTGTAAAAGATCTGCATCTTTCTAGTGCGATCCAGGGGCTCTCAAATGCCAAACAAAGACTTTGGGGTGAAGGTTGCAGCTGAGATAAAAATTGGCCTAAAAAATGAATTATGTGTTTTACAGTCCCAAAACATTACTCAGCAATCTGTGCCTACTGTCATCCTAGAGTCAATTCTACCAAGAGTAGGTGGACAGCAAAGGAAAGTTGTTGGCCTTTCTGATCAGTACAGGTAAAGTGAGGTTAAGCTATGGATAGTCTGGAGTTGTCTCTGTCTCCCTGCACCAGTGGGAAGATAAATTATTAAAGGTAGCCGCGTTAAGAGTGCCTGGTATCAACTCTCAGGAGGTATAACACGCAGAAAACCAAACAGCAGAAAGTTTCTTTTTTCTTCTAAACTTCTTGTGTCCCTCAGAAACCGCAGCAGGTCCCAACATGGTACAAGAAGGAAAAAAAAAAAAAAAAAAAAAAAAAAAAAAAAAGCATAAGCCATCTGCCCGCGTTTCCGCGGAGCAAACGCTGAGATCCTCCTGGCTCATCCCCTCGCCTCGGTCTCCTTGGCTTTAAGCAAGTGGCCCGGGCCTGCATGGGGGCGCCCAGAGCGGGCCGGAGTGGCGGGGAACTTTGCTCGGCCGCGCCGGGGAGACAATGCCGAGGCCCGCGCCCTCGCTCCGCGCCTTCAAGGCGCGCATCGCGTAGTCCCGAGCTCTGCGGGGAGGAACGCTGCGTCCCCGGGGCGCCCCCAATCCACCTCGGCGCCTCTGCAGGCGCCAGGCGCGCCACTCCGGCCCCTCTCGGAGCTGGGGCGCGCAGTCCCCTGGCGGCCTCAGGGCTCAGCAGCCCGGGCCGCGCGCCCCGCAAGCTCCCCGCCCCGGGCAGGCGCCTGCCCCCGAGACCGGCTGCCAGAAGGGACCCTGCCAAACCTCTGTGTCCCAGCGGGTGGTGTGGGGGGCGGCCCAGGGGCCGAGGACCGCGGACAACCCCGCCAGACCGGCCCGGCGCCCCGCAACTCACCGGGACCGGGCGGGCCGCTGAGCATTATTCCATCGCGGGCTCTGCCGGGTGGCGGGCGCTCGGGTCGGAACCAGACTGCGGCCGGAGCTGCGGGCGGGCGGGGCGGGGCGGGGCGGGCGGCACACTCTTGCCAAATTCCGGCCACCGACCGCCTCTGGTGGCGTTCTCGCGAGAGCTTGCAGGAGG